CTATACTCTTCCTATTCTCAACTGACAAGCTATAAATGCCATAAAAACTCTCCTTATTCCCTCCAGCCATAAATTCCCCCATGTTCAATTATTTCCCCCCCTGGCCGCCAGCTGACCTTTCCCCTTCCTGGTGTATGTAAAATTAATTGGGGGTCTATCATCTCCATACTCAAGTACAACCAACAAAAACATGGGTTCCAAACCACCAAATAATCATGTATGATGTAGTCATTTTGGGTGAGAGACAATGAAGAATATGCTTGATACATATTTATATCTTGGTAGGGTAAATCTATGATGCTGGAAAGGCATGATACCGGAAGAGCTTTGACTAATCAAAACCCCTGATTGTTTACTACTTTTATGATGCCGGTTGATTGGTTATAAGCTTTCTGGTATCATAGTCAAATTGGAAATTGTTCGGTTCTCATGTTTAAATCTTGACTTACAGGTGGAAGTGACAGCTTTAGCCAGTTTTGAAGAGAAGGAAGAGCTATTCAAAGAGCAGGTAGCTCTTTAAATACAATGATTGATTTACATACTTTGCAGTTTTTTTCACCATTTGTGCCTTTTGTGTATGGGATTTGCATTGTAGATGATAATTTTGCTCACGTAACTCAACTTTTATGCATATATGGTCTTTGTATACATTAATATCAGTGTTATTAATCCAGTGCCTCACTGACTAGTTTTTAGGCATGTCTAGTTGATTTGATAACTAAACCCAAAAATGATATGTCCTATACAAAATCAAATAAAAATTAATTATGTTGTTGACTATGTCGACTAGTTTCTTATGAACTGATCAGTCTAGCTGTTAGTAAACCCTAGAAGATTCTAGGTTAAAGTAGAGAAGAAGAAAGAAAAGAGAAAAGAAGAAGAAGAAGAAGAAGAAGAAGAAGAAGAAGAGAGAAAGGTTCGGCAAGACTAGAAGTGAGTCAAAATTACACTCCCCTAGCTGACCCACTTGTATTTATTCAAAAACATAGAGTTATAGGAAAGACCATTTTGTCCCTCATA